GGGAGGAAGCCGGAGAACCCAGAGAGAACCCACACTGCACGGAGAGAACATGCAAACTCCACGCAGAAAGATCCCGGTGCCCCCACCGGGACGGAACTGGCAACCTTCTTGCTGCGAGGCAACAGTGCTACTGACATACTTTCACCTTTTATATCAGTATGTAAACAGTTGTTTATTTACACTTTCAGCAGTCACAGAGCAAAATAAACTCTGATCTGGAGTCATGTTCATGTTTGCCTGCTGAATGTAAGCACAGTTTAACTTATTCTCACTAAGTATCTCTGTTTGCTAAATGCTGCACAGTGTTCACAAACTGTCTCAATCTGTCCATCACTACAAAAGACACTTTTTACATTTTCACATTGTCATTTGATATCTTGTGATGAAAATACTGATTAAAGACACTTTAAGCATTGATTTCTCATGCAATACATTTATTAGATTTTTCTCACACATGATCACTGTATATTTATAATCAATTCCCCAAAAATATACACATTGCTGTACTGTTAATCTTGAAAAAAAGAATAGAGAACAAAAATCAATAGGTTGTCTCAAAAAAATCCGATGCCACAGTTTTTCTTGCTTTTGGCTTGTATAGACAACACATAATAAACATGGAGCAAAGTCTGTTACATTGACATGTACACATTTCTCATTCCCAGATATATAGATTTTTTTTATCGAGTACATATCTTAATGTAGAAATGTTTTGCATGCACCTATAATAAAACTGTAAAAATAAAAAAATAATGATGCCATATCAGAAAACATGTGTGTCACTTGGCCTGTATTGGTATGTCAACTTGAAAATAAGAGGAAAAAATGTAATAATAGAAGTTATCAAAAAATTACATGAGAAGTACATTGTATTTTCAACTTCTTTGTAGGTTATTGGGCAGCTGTGGTGGTAGAGTGGTTCTCCTCTGATCAGACGGTCGGTGGTTCGGTCCCCCGTCCCTCCACAGTGGACGTGTCCTTGGGCAAGACACTGAACCTGAAGTTGTTCCCAATGGCAGACAGCATGGCAGCTCTGTCGCCATTGGTGTATGAATCTACTCTCAGATATACATTGCTTTGGATAAAGTATCTGCCAAATGAAACTGTAAAATTGTAAATTATTGTCTGAAAACATCACATGCCAGATTTCCATGCTGTTGGCTTATTGACACAACACATAATCTACATGTGGAACAGAGTCTGTTACATCAACATACACATTTCTTATTCACTGACTTTGATCAAATATACATCATAGTTGAAAAATGTTTTGCATGTACTTAGTAGAAATAAAACTGTAGAAATATTTAAAAAAAATAGTGACATATCAGAAAATGTCTGTCTCAAATGAACTGTGTATATGCATATCAACAAAAAAAGAAATACAATTTTGGATGAAAAAAACTGTGAAGAAATTAGATAGTAAAATAACAATAAATCATAAATGAAATGTCAACATATATTTTGTCTTTGGCTTGTTTAGACAATACTTGTTCAACATGAGCAACAAAGCCTGGTACATCAACATACACAGTTTTTCATTTACTTTGTTTTGGGTTTTTTTCTCTTGAAGCAATAAAACCGAAGAAGGATTTGAAAGAAATAGTGAAACATCAGAAAATGTCTATCTCACATAGTCTCGACATATGTTGAAAAAAGGCACAAAAAAAAAGAGAAAAAAAAAACATATTTACCAGATTTTCAACCTTTTTATCAGGTGTTGTCTGAAAACATCAGGAGCCACAGCTTTTCTCATTGTTGGCTTGTTTAGACAACACATTACAAACATGAGCAACAAAACAACACAGATTATGATATAAAAATGTTTTGATTGCACTTATCAGAAATAAAACTGTAGAAACACTTAAAAAATAGTGACATTAGAACATTCATGTGTCGCATATTCTGTGTATATATGTATATCACCTTGATAAAAGGAGAATTAAATTGTAATCATTAAACAGAAAATGATCATTTAGATCATATATAAACATGAGACAATGAGAAACAAAGTCTGTTTCGTCAGCATACACATTTCCTATTGGCTGGATTGATTGACTGATTGTGATTTGTCAAAAAAATACAATATAAACATGTTTTACATGTAAATATTAATAATAAAATGAAAAAAGTGATATCCTAAAATAGTGGCATAAAGGACAGTCTCTGTCTCACATGGCCAATAAGTAAACATGACCATCAACATCATCAGCATCATTGTCTTCACCACTTGTTGTTATGTACAATAAACAAAAAAGAAACTTTCAAAAACAACAATCATCAAAACAGAAAATAGAACAATATGAAGAAAATAATAAAGTTTGAGATACAAAACATATTCTCAGATTTTTATCAACTGTCCAGCTGTACAGTAAAAGTCTTGTAAGTTTAAACGCTGTTTTGTCTGAAGATGTTTGTTCTGGTTCATTCACACCATGTTGAATGCTTCTTTTAAGCCTTTCAGAGCTTGTTCCTTTGTGATGCTCCTCCAGGCCTTTGGAACATCAGCTGGCTTTGCTTTATATTCTTCAGCAAATTTGTCATTGTACTGTACCAGGACATACTTCCAGTAGTCAGATGCTTCTATGGTGGGATCTGGAGGAATGTGCCAGTCTGGATAGTATTTAGTGTACTGTTTGAAAGGTTTGGACTCCCATTTAGTATCTGCGTTTTGAAAATTTCGTTCACTGTGCACATCAGTTGTACACAGTGTTTCCATCAGTTTACCACTGTCTTCATAGCAGTATCCACCCAGACCTTGTGGCCAATGCAAAGCTGCATGATGCTGCTTGTGTTCTTTGCCTCCAGCCTCACAGGGAACTTTACAAAATGGACATCGTTGTCCACAACCAAACACTCGTTTAAAAAGCTCATCTTGTGGTTTGATTGGAAGTTTGGCAAGGGTCTCGATGATATCATCAGGGTTTGAGAATTCCTCCTGAAGCTGTTCTCTCAAGTCTTGTATTGAATTCTTGAGACTTTTGATGAATGGATGACATGTGCTTTTGATTTGAAACAGGATGGTTTGTTCTGCCTCCACTGAAAGTGAGATGTCTTTAATCAGATATTTGCGCATGTTGCTGATGAGCTCTTTGATGCTTTCTGTGTTATCTGGCAGCAGAACACCATTCTCTCCTTTTGAGGCTTGTTCAAGGGCTTCTGTTACTTTTTTAACAATGATCTGTAGATTCTTGTTCTTCAGTTTGTACAAACTCTTGTCTTCAGACATTTTCTGCTGAATGTGCTGATATATCCAGTCCTTCACATAATTTTCATAGTTACAGATGTACTTGACAAAACTCTTGAAGTCTTCTTTATGCAGTAACTCTTTCTGAATGTTGTACTGGAAGAAGGAGCGGGAACTGTACTGTACTGAATGGCTGCTTGACAACATTTCTTCCACAATGTCTATTCCCAGAGATCTGTTGATGTAGTCTTCCACAGCAGGTTTGATGCAAAATCTGGCAAAATCTGTTGCTTTGAGCTGACAGTCGTCTCTCGCTTTGTACAAGTCAAGAAAGTCTGACAAGTACTGAGTCTTGTACTTCTGCAGCTGAGTGTTGGGATCGTTATCTGACAGATATTTTCTGTGCATTTTCAGGAACTCCCTTGTGGCAATGCCACAAATATGAAGTTTCAGTTCAATCTCATACTTTGTGTTTGTTTTGTGTTGCTTGTCACTTTGCTGAAGGAATTCATTGATTTTCTCCAGAAGATCCATTGTGAAAGAGTCATGGTAATCTCCATCTGTATTTGCTTTATCATGTATAAACCGTGTGCAGGACTCAATGACATTGTCTGTAAAGCTCTGCAAATCTCCTGTCCGCCAGTGTTTTACCATTTGGTTGAAATACATTTTCTGGACATGGCCTCTGTGGGTTTCAAATCGATCCCTCCCAGCTTCCTTTAGGTCAATGCCCTGTAATTCCTCATTGACATTTCGGTTTGAGAAACTTTTCCTCAATTGCATCAGTACACATCTTGTGATATCTCGCTCTTTCAGGCCAGAGATATTTGCAGTGGCTTTAGCCCACATATCTTCGAACTCATCTGTCAGCTTTTCATCAGACAGTTTGTCATCTTTGCATTCACTCAGGAGCTTCATGACCTTCTCTTCAATGACACCTCTGTATTGTCTCTGTATGTCCTGAGCTTTTTCTGAACTTATTTTTAGCTCAAGGATGCAATCTAGTTTTGTTGCCACAGATCGTTGAGTTTCCTTCGCAAGACTATCGATACTTTTGATGAAGTCAGTTTTGTACTTTTCTATCAGATTTACGTGTCTGTCTTTGTTTTGGTAGTACTCGTGCAGTTTTTTTGTCATTATTTTTTGTCCATTTTGAATTTTGCTGGACACTTCAGATTTTTTGGATTCCACCAGTTCAGACCAAGTTCCCAGTTGAGATTCATTGTCAGCATTTTTGATTTCTGTCTCTGCTTCTCCCTGCCAGGACAGAATCTCTTTTCTGAACTCCCATTCCCATTGACTGAAATGTTTGCAGAGGTTGTCGTAGGCATGAGCCACAAGAGTGTTTCTGAAACTAAAGATGAAGTTCTCGTACTTCACTGCCTTCCAGAGACTTTTCATCCACTCTAGAAACTCTGGGATCTGTGTGGTTTCATTGCTTCTGTCACTTTTCATTGACTCCAAAAGATTTTTCTTGAAATCTGCCACAGCTTCACTGTAATCTGTGTTCACCGGTGCCATTGGAGGGGTTCCATGCCAGAGTCCTGGGATGTTCCAGTTGTTTTTTTCTATGTCATAGTCCAGCACATCTGTGAATGCTTTGAAAGAAGGCTGTCTTTCCATTTCAGCTGCAATTTGAGTCATTTCATTGAGTTGGTCCAAGAGATGTTGTCTTTCTGTCATGCACTTGGAATCAGCTGAGACTCCTGCAACATTTTGGTAAACAAAATGACAAACTGGCTTTTTCCCAATTTGCTTCATTCTCAAGAATGCATGAGCTGTGATTTGCAAGACATCTTTCATTTCATTTGCGTTCTCCATTGCGATGTTGATGATGGTTACATCACTCAAGCCAATGACAAAGGTTGCCAGCTGGTTNTCTATTCCCAGAGATCTGTTGATGTAGTCTTCCACAGCAGGTTTGATGCAAAGTCTGGCAAAATCTGTTGCTTTGCGCTGACAGTCGTCTCTCTCTTTGTACAAATCAAGGAAGTCTGACAAGTACTGAGTCTTGTATTTCTGCAGCTGAGTTTTGGGATCGTTATCTGACAGATATTTTCTGTGCATTTTCAGGAACTCCCTTGTGGCAATGCCACAAATATGAAGTTTCAAGTCAATCTCATACTTTGTGTTTGTTTTGTATTGCTTGTAACTTTGCTGAAGGAATTCATTGATTTTCTCCAGAAGATCCCTTGTGAAAGACTCATGGTAATCTCCACCTGTATTTGTTTTATCATGTATGAACCGAGTGCAGGACTCAATGACATTGTCTGTAAAGTTCTGCAAATCTCCTGTCCACCACTGTTTTACCATTTGGTGTAGATGCATTTTGTTGACATGGCCTCTGTGGGTTTTAAATGGACCCGTCCCAACTTCCTTTAGGTCAATGCCCTGTAATTCATCATTGACATTCCGGTTTGAGAAACTTTTTCTCAACTCGGTCTCTACACATCTTGTGATATCTCGCTCTTTCAGGCCAGAGATATTTGCAGTGGCTTTAGCCCACATGTCTTCAAACACATCTGTCAGTTGTTCATCAGACGGTGTGGTGTCTTTGCAGTCACTCAGGAGCTTCATGACCTTCTCTTCAATGACATCTCTGTATTGTCTCTGTATGTTCTGAGCTTTTTTTGCACTTGTTTTTAACTCAAGGATGCAATCTAGGTTTGTTGCCACAGATTGTTGAGTTTCCTTCGCAATACTATTGATTCTTTTGATGAAGTCAGTTTTGTACTTTTCTATCAGATTTACGTGTCTGTCTTTGTTTTGGTAGTACTCGCGCAGTTTTTTTGTCATTATTTTTTGTCCATTTTGAATTTTTCTGGACACGTCAGATTTTTTGAATTCCACCAGTTCAGACCAAGTTCCCAGTTGAGATTCGATGTCAGCATTTTTGATTTCTGTCTCTGCTTCTGTCTCCCAGGACAGAATATCTTTTCTGAACTCCCATTCCCATTGACTGAAATGTTTGCAGAGGTTGTCGTAGGCATGAGCCACAAGAGTGTTTCTGAAACTAAAGATGAAGTTCTCGTACTTCAATGCCTTCCAGAGACTTTTCATCCACTCTAGAAACTCTGGGATCTGTGTGGTTTCATTGCTTCTGTCACTTTTCATTGTCTCCAAAAGATTTTTCTTGAAATCTGCCACAGCTTCACTGTAACCTGTGTTCACCGGTGCCATTGGAGGGATTCCATGCCAGAGTCCTGGGATGTTCCAGTTGTTTTTTTCTATGTCATAGTCCAGCACATCTGTGAATGCTTTGAAAGAAGGCTGTCTTTCCATTTCAGCTGCAATTTGAGTCATTTCATTGAGTTGGTCCAAGAGATGTTGTCTTTCTGTCATGCACTTGGAATGAGCTGAGACTCCTGCAACATTTTGGTGAACAAAATGACAAACTGGCTTTTTCCCAATTTGCCTTATTCTCAAGAATGCATGAGCTGTGATTTGCAAGACATCTTTCATTTCATTTGCGTTCTCCATTGCGATGTTGATGATGGTTACATCACTCAAGCCGATGACAAAGGTTGCCAGCTGGTTGTCATGTTCATAACTGTCCTCTAGTTGTGCCAGATCAGGAGATTTTAGACCCTCTGTGTCAATGAGAACCACAAAGTCATAATTCAGCTCCCTTTTCAAATCTTCTCCAACTCTAAGGAAGACCATGTAGGCTCCTCTTGTGCATCTGCCACTGCTGACAGGAAACTGCACACCAAACATGGTGTTGAGGAGTGTTGACTTCCCTGAACTTTGAACACCCAACACAGTCAGTACCAACAATCTGCTGCTCTCTCCAACCTTCTTGTGGAGCTCCATCAGCACATCTGTCACCCATCTCTGTGGGATATTAGAAGCATCTCCATCCAAGAGCTCTAAAGGATAACCATCCAACAGCATTTCAGCAGCCACACCTGGTAGATGAGACATTTTATCAGCACTTTCTTGTGAGTGCAAGGAAACCTCGTAGATCAGTCCCATCTCTCTCATGTAATGCTCTATTCCTAAAGAAGCATTCAAAAAAGTTTGATCCAACTCTGCCATGACTTTTGCATCTTTTGCCTTGCTTGCCTCTTTGAACTTGTTACGCAGTGCAGGCAGTCTGCTCCGTGATTGTGTATCAAGCTTGAGTTTCATCCACTTTAGGAAAAAATCTCTTTTTTCTTTGTCACTTGTAGATAAGTTATCAATAAAAGTCTTCATTCCTTCAGACAATTTGTATTTCTTTTGCTCCTCTTTGATTTGTTTTTGCTCCTCTTGCAGCTGAGCTTTATACTCTTCCAGTCCTGAGTCACCAGAATTCTTCAGTCTACACTCCTCCTTTTCTAATTGTGATAACCTTTTCCAGTTGTCTTCCTGCAAAAGAAGTTGTTGTTTCTTGTAGTGACTGTTCACTTTAATGTCCTTTACCATCTTCTCAGCTGCCTTCTTTTGGTCGTCACTGCTACATTCATCTACAGAAAGTCCAAATTCAGTTGCTTTTTCAAGCATACTGTCAATGGTTGTTGCAGATGTTGATGAGGTCTTGATGGCTTCACATAGTTTCTCTGAAAAATCTGCAGTATTCACTCTTGTGTGTTTTACTGTCACATTGCTTTTTGGCAAATGTAATGTTTCCACTGTTGTCTTGATAGACATCATGTCCTCTCTGGCACCATCATCTCTGCGATTAACTACCAAGAAGAGTTTTGATGTTGTATCTTGAAGAGAAGTCAAAATCTTGTGCTCATTTTCTTCAATTTTGTCCAGAAACACAAAGGTAGCAGTTGATACTTGATAAAGAAAGTTGAATTGTGCGAGTGACTCACAGATGTCTCCTCGTAAATTGGCGAAGGCGACTGGCTCTGGAAATATGTCCAGATTTTCTCTTCCACAGGGAAGGTACCAGCAAACTTCTGCCAATCCATTGGCTATTTCTCTGTGAAGTGTTCCTCCTTTCATCTCTCTGTGTATGAAGATATTGTGATTCTGCTGTCCACGGCTGAGAACCTGATTCAAAATCTGGGACTTTGATAAGCTGCAATTTTTCAGCCTCACAAAGGAATAAAATGGCATTTTTGCTTGGACAATGTTGTCTTCAACAAAACCTCTTGATTGGGACAGATCATGTGGACGCCACTCTTTCACGATGTCTCTCAGAGCCCAAAGCATCAGGCTGCACTGATTCTTATTGCCATGAGGCAACAGCAGTGGGACAGAAAACTGGCACATTGACATCTTGAGGGCCATTTCCTGTTTCAAGAAGCTGTCAGCACAAAGGAAGAGCGCCATGATGAGGTCAAGAGGGTGAACTCCATTGTATGCAGAATTATCTGCTGTATATGGGTCAATTTCAAATATATCATCGTCTTCTTCCAGGTCATCATTGCTTTTTGGCAATTGTGTAGCATTTCTGCATTCTGCATTGATTTTAAGCAGTCTTCTGAGAAAGCACCATGGTATTTCCTCGACTGATTTGACAGTTTCATCAGACGTGCTGCTTTTGTTTATCTCTAAGAGACTCTGTAGACGGAGCTTGTTGGGATAAAATTTGTCCAATCCGAGTTTTGAAAGAAGCTTCAACAGGTCTAAAAGAGACAAAAGAAAATACCAAAGGAGCTTCAGTTTACATCTGCTTTTTAGTGTATCTGTCCATGCTGAATTGTTGTATTCAGATGATAAATATACAGTCATGGAAAAAATTATTAAACTATCGTTGTTTTCTTCAATTTCTTGTTCATTTTAATGCCTGGTACCTCTATAGGTATATTCGTGGTCCATTTTGCATTTGATGATTTTCCACAGGTTTTCAATTGGATTTAGATCTGGTGATTGAGCAAGGCATGCTTCCAATGTTGTGGTTCTCCATACAGTCTTTAAGTGACCCTACCATGTGGCAAGGGGCATTGTCTTGCATTTGCCCTGTTACGCCCATACTGAAACAAGTCCAGATCGTCACTGATCCACCCCCGTGTTTTACTGTAGGGGCAAGACAGTCTGGTTTGTAGGCTTCTCCAGGGTTCATCCTAACCAGCAAGTTGGCTTGAGTGGGCATCACCTGAAAAATGGATTCATCACTGAAGAGAACCTTAGCCCAATCATCAACAGTCCAATCGTTTTGATCCCCATAAAAGAGTAATCAGGCTTTCTTCTGCCTTTTGTTGATGAAGGGCTTCTTCAGTGCCCTGTGTGACTTCAGACCAGCTTCAAGAAGTCGGTTTCTAGCTGTCCTTGCAGAACAAGTCACATTCTCGACAGTGTCCACTCATGTTTAAGGTCCATGGAGGTCTGACAACGATTCCTGACACAGAAACAGATGAGTGCACGGTCATCTCGTGGGGTAGAAAGACGTTTCCTGCTGTGACCAGCTAGAAATTTGGTAGTACCATGTTGGGCTTGTTTTTTCTTGGTGTAATGAACGGCTGTCTTGGAGATCATCAGTTTTTTCACTACCTGTCTCTCACTCATGCCAATTTCCAGCAGTGTCAAAATGCTGCCTTTGTGGCTTCACATAATTCTTATGTTTTAGGCACTATGTGAGAGCTGACAACTTCTGAGTTGTGCTACAGCTTGAATGTAAGCAGGAAACCACTCTAGGCCTTTGCATGTACAGTGCTGCTTATGACATGAAATGGCCTCTTATATGCCCCAGGAATACAATTAAGCTTAAGCATGTCAAATAGGACATATATTATGTAATATATGTATGTATGTATTATGTAATCAGCTGCATTTTTTGTCCTGTTCATTGTATTCTTCAGATAATATACCTTTAGTGGTACCAGACATTAAAATGAACAAGAAATGGAAGACAACAAGCGTGGTCTAGTACTTTTTTCCATGACTGTATATATACATATATGATAGTGTATATGACATACATACATATGAGGGCCCAACCGATATTGATTTTTTGAGACCGATGCCGATTCCGATTATTGGCAGAAAAAAATTCTGATAACTGAATAATTAAAAAAAATATATCCATCCATCCATTATNATGACAAAGGTTGCCAGCTGGTTGTCATGTTCATAACTGTCCTCTAGTTGTGCCAGATCAGGAGATTTTAGACCCTCTGTGTCAATGAGAACCACAAAGTCATAATTCAGCTCCCTTTTCAAATCTTCTCCAACTCTAAGGAAGACCATGTAGGCTCCTCTTGTGCATCTGCCACTGCTGACAGGAAACTTCACACCAAACATGGTGTTGAGGAGTGTTGACTTTCCTGAACTTTGAACACCCAACACAGTTAGTACCAACAATCTGCTCCTCTGTCCAACCTTCTTGTGGAGCTCCATCAGCACATCTGTCACCCATCTCTGTGGGACATTAGAAGCATCTCCATCCAAGAGCTCTAAAGGATAACCATCCAACAGCATTTCAGCAGCCACACCTGGTAAATGAGACATTTTGCCAACAGTTTCTTGTGAGTATAAAGAGACCTCGTAGATCAGTCCCATCTCTCTCATGTAATGCTCTGTTCCTAAAGAAGTATTCAAAAAAGTTTGATCCAACTCTGCCATGACTTTTGCATCTTTTGCTTTGCTTGCCTCTTTGAACTTGTTGCGCAGTGCAGACAGTTTGCTCCGTGATTTTGTATCAAGCTTGAGTTTCATCCACTTCAGAAAAAAATCTCTTTTTTCTTTGTCACTTGTTGATGAGTTATCAATAAAAGTCTTCATTCCTTCAGACAATTTGTATTTCTTTTGCTTCTCTTTGATTTGTTTTTGCTCCTCTTGCAGCTGAGCTTTATACTCTTCCAGTCCTGAGTCACCAGAATTCTTCAGTCTACACTCCTCCTTTTCTAATTGTGATAACCTTTTCCAGTTGTCTCCCTGCAAAGGCAGTTGTTGTTTCTTGCAGTGACTTTGCACTTTAATGTCCTTTACCATCTTCTCGACTGCCTCCTTTTGGTCGTCACTGCAACGTTCATCGACAGAAAGACCAAGCTCAACAGCTCTGTCAAGCATACTGTCAATGGTTGTTGCAGATGTTGATGAGGTCTTGATGACTTCACATAGTTTCTCTGAAAAATCAACAGTATTTACTCCTGTGCGTTTGTTTTTCACATTGCTTCTTGGAAAATGTAATGTTTCCATTGTTGCGTTGACTGACATCATGTCCTCTGTGGCACCATCATCTCTGCGATTAACTACCAAGAAGAGTTTTGATGTTGTATCTTGAAGGGAAGCCAAAATCTTGTGCTCATTTTCTTCAATTTTGTCCAGAAACACAAAGGTAGCAGTTGACACTTGATAAAGAAAGTTGAATTGTGCGAGTGACTCACAGATGTCTCCTCGTAAGTTGGCGAAGGCGACTGGCTCTGGAAATATGTCCAGATTTTCTCTTCCACGGGGAAGGTACCAGCAAACTTCTACCAACCCATTGGCTATTTCTCTTTGAAGTGTTCCTCCTTTCATCTCTCTGTGTATGAAGATATTGTGATTCTGTTGTCCACGGCTGAGAACCTGATTCAAAATCTGGGACTTTGATAAGCTGCAGTTTTTCAGCCTCACAAAGGAATAAAATGGCATTTTTGCTTGGACAATGTAGTCTTCAACAAAACCTCTTGATTGGGACAGATCATGTGGACGCCACTCTTTCACGATGTCTCTCAGAGCCCAAAGCATCAGGCTGCACTGATTCTTATTGCCATGAGGCAACAGCAGTGGGACAGAAAACTGGCACATGGACATCTTGAGGGCTATTTCCTGTTTCAAGGAGCTGTCAGCACAAAGGAAGAGCGCCACGATGAGGTCAAGAGGGTGAACTCCATTGTATGCCGAATTAAATGCTGTATATGGGTCAATTTCAAATATATCATCGTTTTCTTCCTCGTCATCATTGCTTTTGGGGAATTGTGTAGCATTTCTGCATTCTGCATTGATTTTAAGCAGTCTTCTGAGAAAGCACCATGGTATTTCCTCTACTGATTTGACAATTTCATCAGACGTGCTGCTTTTGTTTATCTCGAAGAGCCACTGTAGACGGAGCTTGTTGGGATAAAATTTGTCCAATTCGAGTTTTGAAAGAAGCTTCAACAGCTCTAAAGGAGACAAATGAAAATACCAAAGGAGCTTCAGTTCACATCTGCTTATTTGTGTATCTGTTCATGCTGAATTGTTGTATTCAGATGATAAATATATAGTCATGGAAAAAAATATTAAACCACCCTTGTTTTCTTCTGTTTCTTGTTCATTTTAATGCCTGGTACCACTAAAGGTATATTAGTGGTCCATTTTGCGTTTGATGATTTTCCACAGGTTTTCAACTGGATTTAGATCTGGTGATTGAGCAGGCCAAGGCAAGGTTTCAATGTTCTTGTTCGCCATCTAAGCTTTAACTGACCTTGCCATGTGGCAAGGGGTATTGTCTTGTTGGAGAATCCAGCCATTGGAGGCAGGAAAGACTTTTCCAGCTGATGGAAGAAGACTGTTCAAGAGTAGCCTTATGCATGACCTGGTTCATTCACCCTTCACACAACTGCATTTGCCCTGTTCCACCCATACTGAAACAACCCCAGATCGTCACTGATCCACCCCCATGTTTTACTGTAGGGGCAAGACAGTCTGGTTTGTAGGCTTCTCCAGGCTTCATCCTAACCAGTACGTTGGCTGGAGTGGGAATCAACTGAAAATTGGATTCACCACTGAAGAGAACCTTAACCCAATCATCAACAGTCCAATCCTTGTGATCCCCAGCAAAGAGTAACTGGACTTTCCTCGGCCTTTTGTTGATGAAGGGCTTCTTCTGTGCCCTGTGTGACTTCAGACCAGCTTCAAGAAGTCGGTTTCGAACTGTCCTTGCAGAACAAGTCCCATTTTTCGACAGTGTCCACTCATGTTTAAGGTCCATGGAGGTCTGACAATGATTCCTGACACAGGAACGGATGAATGGACGGTCATCTTATGGGGTAGAAAGAAGTTTCCTGCCGCGACCAGCTAGAAATTTGGTAGCACCGTGTTGGGCTTGTTTTTTCTTGGTGTAATGAATGGCTGTCTTGGAGATCTTCAGTTTTTTTTTTTGCTGTTTGTCTCTCACTCATGCCAATTTCCAGCAGTGTCAAGATGGCTGCCACATAATTGTTATGTTTTAGACTTTATGTGAGAGCTGACAACTTCTGAGTTGTGCTATGGCTTGAACGTAAGCAGGAAACCACTCCAGGCCTTTGCATGTGCAGTGCTGCTTGTGACATGAAATGGCCTCTTACATACCCTGGGAATACAATTAAGCTTAAGCATATCAAAGTATTATGTAATCAGCTGCATTTTTTGTCCTGTTCATTGTATTCTTCAGATAATATACTTTTAGTGGTATCAGGCATTAAAATGAACAAGAAATGGAAGACAACAAGGGTGGTCTAATATTTTTTTCCATGACTGTATACATACATATATGATAGTGTATATGACACACATACATATGAGGGCCCGACCAATATCGATTTTTTGAGGCCGATGCCAATTCAGGTTATTGACAGAAAAAAATTCCGATAACTGATTAATTAAAAAAATATATCCATCTATACACCGCTTAATCCTCACTGGGGTCGCGGGGGGGCTGGAGTCTGTCCCAGCTGAGTTAGGGTGAAGGCAGGGGACACCCTGGACAGGTCACCAGTCTATCACAGGACTACACTGAGAGACAGACAACCAAGCACACTCACATTCACACCTACTGACAATTTAGAATCACCAATTAACCTCAACATGTTTTTGGACTGTGTGGGAAGAAGCCGGAGAACCCAGAGAGAACCCACGCTGCTTCTGGAGAACATGCACTGGGACGCGATCTGGGGACCTTCTAGCTGTGAGGCGACAGTGCTAATCACCGATCCACCTTGCAGTCCTCAAAAAATATGCAATAAATAAAATAGCTTCTTTTTTGGTCCCTTAACACCTACAACAACTAAGATATGAATTACTGGCAGAACATTTTAGTGTTTTACAATACTTTGTCTTTTACTGTTTGTTTACCTTTACAAAAGAGAGGAATTTTCAAGTACAAAAACATGCAACAATGCTTTAAACATAATATGCATCAGTTTTTTAAAAAAAAAAGTTTTCTGAACAAACATGTCTGTAATGTGGCATATTTTATTTCAAATTGGTATTGTGCATTTTTCTTTCTATGGAGCATGAATATAGCTACCAGTTGTACTGATGAATTTATCTTTAGATTTAGGCCATAGGTGTATGCTGTATATAAGCAACATGATGAGTTACTGGCAGAACATTATTTATGCAGCCCTCTGATGCCCTTTAAGGTTAAATCATGTTTTCTCTTCTCCATTAGTTTCTTTGAAGTCATGACTCATATGAACCAAAGCAAAAACCAGAGATGCCTTTCTCAGATGTCAAAACATGTCATCTTTGACTGTGTTGTATTTCAATTATATAATGGTCACAAATAGTCCGACACTAATGCTGTGTTCACACCAGTGCTGGCTGATCAATACGGGGCGCAGGGGCACCACCCCACTACCAATGACCAGATAAAAAGTAGTTCTCAAACACAATATTAAATTTGAATTAATTCTAACAAAATAATAACAAAATTAAAAATAACGTTCATATTCTTTGGCCATATTAACAATATTTGTACTATTAACAGATTCAAAATTAGCTTTCACTGCGTGTGTACTAATTTTACACTTCCTGGATGCGTGCGCCGGCCACATGAGTGTGTATGTAGCTCGAAAAACTTCTCGTGACCATGTGACCTTGGCCCGAACTTTGACTGACAGCTACAGACTTTATCACTGGGCGCAGCTCGGTGCATCCCTGACCCGTCCACTTTTGCTTTAAGCCAATTAATTTTGTCAGTATTTGCTTTATCAAAACTGTCCTTTGACGTTCTTACGGACATTCACACACCTGTCAGAGCACACCACAGCCACCAAACAGCAACTACCACAGCCTGCTATGTGGGGCGTTTAGAGAGCATCAGTAAATCGTGGCGTCTATCACTAAGAAAATGTTCAGCAAGTCATATGTTTTGCCTTTGAGCAGGTGGGAGGTGCAACAAAATGAGAAAGTGGGTCGCACTGGTGCTACCAGTGAAAGAGTTAGTCTGGAGCTCTGAATAGTGTTTTTGTTTTTTTGTTTTTGTTAATTATTTATGTAGTGTGATTTGAGTTTGTACAGATCCTGTAAATATTGATGAAAGTTTAATGAATGGGTTTGAAATTTAGTTCTGGTAAGTCTTAATAATGATAAATTAGATTATGATTAGAATATCCTCCAAGGGCAGAAACTTTGCATACCTGTAAATAGTTGTGCCTGATGTTACTCATATTCTAATTTCTGATTTAAAATAAAAGGTCATATNCACTTAGAGACAGACAACCAAGCACACTCACATTCACACCTACGGACAATTTAGAATCACCAATTAACCTCAACATGTTTTTGGACTGTGGGAGGAAGCCGGAGAACCCAAAGAGCACGCTGCAGGGGGAGAACATGCATGCAGAAAGATACCGGGTGTCCTCACTGGGATGCGATTTGGGGACCTTCTTGCTGCAAGGTGACAGTGCTAACCACCGAGCCACATTGCAGCCCTCAAAAAATATATAATGAATAAAATAGCTTCTTTGTTGGTCCCTTAACACCTACAATAACTAAGATATGAATTGCAGGCAGAAAATGTTACTGTTGTACAATACTTTGTCCTTTACTATTTGTTTGTCTTTACAACAAAGAGGAATTTTCAAGTATAAAAACATGCAACAATGCTTTAAACGTAATATGCATCAGTTAAAAAGTTTTCTGAACAAATATGTCTGCAATGTGGGGTATTTTATTTTAAATTGGTATTGAGCATTTTTCTTTCTGTGGCGCATGAATATAGCTACCAGTTGTACTGATGAATTTATCTTTAGATTTAGGCCATAGGTGTATGCTGTATATAAGCAACATAGTGAGTTAAGTTACTGGCAGAACATTATTTATGCAGCCCTCTGATGCCCTTTAACGTTAAATCACATTTTCTCTTCTCCATTATTTTCTTTGAAGTCATGACTCATATGAACCAAAATAAAAACCAGAGATGCCACTCTCAGATGTCAAAACATGTCATCTTTGACAGTGTTGCATTTCAATTATATAATGGTCACAAATAGTCCGACACTAATGCTGTGTTCACACCAGTGGCGGCTGGTCAATACAGGGCCAGGGGCGCCACCCCACTACTAATGACCAGATAAAAAGTAGTTCTCAAATGTAAAATTACATTTGAATTAATTATAACAAAATCATAATAAAATTAATAATAACTTTAATATTCTTTTGCCATATTAACAATATTTGTACTATTATCAGATTAAAAATTCGCTTTCACTGCGTGTTTACTAATTTTACACTTCCTGGACGCGGGGCACCAGCCACATGAGTGTGTATGTAGCTCGAAAAACTTTTCGTGATCATGTGACCTTGGCCCGGTCTTTGATTGGCAGCTGCAGACTTTCTCATTGGATGCAGCTCAGTGCATCCCGGACTCGTCCACTTTTGCTTTAAGCCAATTAATTTAGTCCTTGTTTGTGTTTTTGTCTTCTGTGGTTGGATATCAAAACTGTCCTTTGACGTTCTTACGACTGTGCTTTAAATACATATCTGACAGCGTCACAAGCTTTTCCCGTCGCTCTTCTACCAAATGACAGCTACTGTCGTGACAGCTTAATGCATTGGCCATGCTGTCAATGGAGAAAAGGCTGCTCACAGAGGTGAGTGACTTCAACCAAAATGTTTGCTGAGCAGAAAGAGAGTAGAGCCTTTTTTTTTTTTTTCAAAATACCTCCAGACTGCATTTGCGACCATCTTTTTGAGAATGCGAACTGATAAGCATGATGATCGTGAAGCTGTATTAGTGTCGCCGCTACCGGCACAGGAAGCTGCTGTGTGGACCACAGCGGTGAAAAGTAGAACTTCTATAACTTCGGTATACTGTGGTATTTGCACTTAAAAATGAGGTCTTCTCATGAAAAACAGAGCACACCTGTATTCACTGTTTTTCCACTCATAGAAAAGACAAGCATGTAGAATACATGTAACTGGGTTTAACCATGAGAACGTCCTAGTTTGTTATTTTTAAAGGCATTTTTGGTCGTGGGCCGTTTAGAGAGCATCAATAAATCGTACCGTCTATCGATAGGAAAATGTTCAGCAAGTCATACGTTTTGCCTTTGACCAGGCAACAAAATGAGAAAGTGAGTCGTACTGGTGCTACCAGTGAAAGAGTTAGTCTGAAGGCCTGAATAGTGGTTTTTTTTGTTTTGTTTTTTAAAATTATTTATGTTGTGTGTTTTGAGTTTGTCAGATCCTATACATACTGATGAAAGTTTAATGAATGGTTTTGAAATTTAGTTCTGGTAAGTCTTAATAATGTTAAATTAGATTATGATTAGAACATCCTCCAAAGGCAGAAAAATTGCATTCCTGTAAATAGTTGTGCCTGATGTTACTCATATTCTAATTTCTGATTTAAAATAAAAGGTCATTTGCAGACTGCGCCCTCCCCACCAAAAATTTTCACCAGTCACCACTGGTTCACACCAGAGATGTTCACAAGTCTTTTTTTGCAAGTCCAAGTCAAGTCTCAAGTCTTTGGTCACAAGTCCAAGTCAAGTCTCAAGTCTTTGGTCACAAGTCCAAGTCAAGTCTCAAGTCTTTGGTCACAAGTCCAAGTCAAGGCTCAAGTCTTTGGTCACAAGTCCAAGTCAAGGCTCAAGTCTTTGGTCACAAGTCCAAGTCAAGTCTCAAGTCTTTGGTCACAAGTCCAAGTCAAGTCTCAAGTCTTTGTGGGGTGAGACTTGGTCAAGTCT